ATATTTAACAACCAGCTCACAAAATTCCTGAAGTTTGACAACTGGCTGTCAGGAGCCGGAACCAGCAGGCTCCAGCACACCCCGGCATTATCTGTTAGCCCTGGCACGTGGTGTTCTCCCAGTCAGGGTTCCTATTGTTCCCATCTGCTAACCATCCTTTTCTTGGGGGAATAGGATCTTGCATTTCACTTTGTTCTGGAGAAGCTGCCAATTCCTTGATCCCTGTCCCAGTGACCACTGATAACAGGACTGGTGACCAAAGTAAGGCCAAGCCATGGGGAGAGTGGGCAGGTGTCAGGGCTGAGCGTGGGCATTTGTGGGACCTTGGCTGTAATATCATATCGTCAACCGAATTCTTGCTTGGCAGGTTGTGGGAGGTAACCCAGCCAATGCCAAAACCATGCCCTTCCGGTATTTGTATGTATCAAAAGACCCAGAACTCACTCTGCATCCCCTGTGATCTCCTTTCGGTGCTCCCTTCATGCAGGGTCATCGGGACATAGCTGGAGCCCTAGATAAGGGTCCCACCTCCTGCCAGGGACCCTGTCCACACAGCCCTCTCTGTTCCCAGGTTCTGACAACCACACCCTCCCCTCATACCTCCAGGCCTAGGCTTTGCAACAGCTCTGCCGGTGGTTTCCCCACTCCCTGCCTACACCTTTCTAAACAGTCTGTCTTAGTCCATTCTGTCTAACCATACACTAGGGGACTTCTGAACGACAGAAATTTATTTCTCACAGTTCTGGAGGCTGGGAAGTCCAAGACCATGGCGCCAGCAGATTTGATGTCTGGTGAGGGCCTGCTTCCTGCTTCATGAGTGGCGCCTTCTAGCTATGTCTTCACAAAGTAGAAGGGTGAGGGAGCTCTCTGGGGTCTCCTTCCGAAGGGCACGAATCCCATTCCTGAGGTCTCTGCCCTCATGACCTAATCACCTCCCAAATCCCCCACCTCCTAATACCATCACAGCAGGGATTAGGTTTCAACATATGAATTTGGGGGGCATGGAGACATTCAGTTTACAGCCCAGTCCCTTTATGAAACTCTCTTTAGCTTACCCAGTTGGAGCGTGCCACCCATTCCCTGCAGGGACCTGGCGACCTCCATCCATGCTCCCCACACTGCTCTGTCCTCCATGCCCACAGGAGGCTCTGTGGCCCAGCCAGGTCAGGACACAGGCTCTGCGGTCAGCCCCGAGTTTGAATTCTGCCTCCTGTTTACTAGCTGCAATGCCATAGTCACATTGCTTTACCTCTTTGTGCCTAAGTTTTGGTCACCTGTAAAACAAGGACAGCAGCCCCCACCTGGCAAGGTCGTTATGGAGAGCGATGGCCCATGTAAAAAGCATAATACATGCTTTTTACATAATACAAGCATAATACATGCCATGTGATCCCGGGACACTGCCAGCTAGTACTGATGGTTTGTATTACATTGCCTTGTCTTTCAAGTATCTAATACATTACTGTTAACTATAGTCACCATGCTGTGGGCTAGGTCCCTGGAACTTATTCATCCTAACTGAAACCGTATCCATGATATTTCCCCAACTGTATGTGAACTCTTCTTTGGTCTTTTCCAGATTTTTTTTTTTGCTCAGTAACTAGAGACCCAGAAGCTGAGCCTGGACTTGTGCCGAAGGAAAGGCTTGTCCCACCCCCCGCCCCCAGGACAGTGCTGGGTCCCACTGCACCCACTCAAGGCCTCCAACCCGCCACAGAGCTCCCAGGTGCAGACAGGAGTTGGTACTTGAGACCGGATTCTATATGTCAACTCAGGCTTGTGTCTGCAAGAAACGGGGCCGATGTCACTTGGTGTCACTTGTCCAGCACTGGCTTCCTGGCGCACTGGGTCTGGGCTGTCACAGTGGCCCAGAACGGGAGGCCTCACCTACTGTGGGTACTCTTGCGGCTCCATGTGTGGGCACTGAGGGTCAGGGTGGAGCCAGGATGCACCATTGTCCTTGACACCCTGCCCTGCCACCTCTCATTCCAAGGGCACCAAAAGAACCCCCGGAGGCTGTGAGGGGATGAGAGCTCCTCGGAAGAAATGGAATGCCAGATGTCACTTTTCTATGGCTCGCCTAAGGCTTCTCCTGTATCTGTCCTTGCCAAGGAAGGAGAGCTTGGAATAGCCTTAACTAACCTGAGTTCCAAACATGGCCCTGCTGCGTCCTGGCCCTGTGCCTGTGGGTAAGTCACTTTACCTCTCAGAGGCTCTGCTTCCTCGTCTGTAAAACATGCCAAGAGCAGTGCCTATTTGACACGGTGGTGGTGAGAATTAAATGAGATTATGCAAGTCCGTGGCCTCCCTCAGTGCCCGGCACATGGTGTGCACTTAATAGGAGGCCACTTTTATGAACACAGGCAGGAGGGCTAGCGGGACTCGGGTGGGAAACAAGGCCCTTAGCGGATACCTCTGTTTGCATCGGTGTGGAGTTTTCCTGCTGCCGGGTTTATTCTCATTAAGATTTTCCAGCTGCTCCCCCACCCCCCACCCCCCACCCCCTGGCCTGGCCAGTTTAAAGTTTCCTGGGAGAACAAGGGAGCTTCTCCAGGAGAAACCAGCCAGGGCTAGGGCTCGAATCTGGCTTCCTCCTGTGGAGGGCAGACAGACCTGGAATCCCTGTCCAGGGGAGGATGGCTCCAACGGGTAGAGCAAAGGTTGCCAACTTTTTGGCAAAGGCAGTGGGACTTTCTACCTTGAGTTTATTTGGCCTGAGTAATGTTTTGAAAACATGTGACTTCATTGCTAAGGTGTGGAAACCAGGAGCTTTCACCTGACCCTGTGCCCACATTCTAGCCTGGGCACAACCAGCTGGAAGTGGGTGTCCACCATCCCAGAGCTGGGCACGAGCTCTTTGGCTTCCCAGCCTCCACCCTGCCCCCATACTCAGTCACGGAGGTTCTGGCTCAGCCTCGCAGGCAGGTGCATTCACGTCCTCAAGCTGGAGGCTGCTGCACAGTCTTGTGTCTGTGCATGTGCACATGTTTAGGAAACTTCCAGGGCTCCTGTTTACCCATCTACCAGCATCTGCACCCCCATTCCACAAATGTAGCTCTTGTTACTGCAGATGAGCCATCTCTGCTCCCCTCTAAAGCCGGCCTCCCCACTGTGAACTAGAGCCCCCTGCTACAGGTGGAATGTTTTTGTCCCCTCTAAAAGCCATGTGTTGGAAATCTAATCCCGGTGTAACAGTGTTGGGAGGCAGGGCCTAAAGGGAGGTGTTTAGGTTGGAGGGCACCACCCCCACGATTTAACACCACTATCAAAAGGGCTTGCAAGAGTGGGCTCCCTCTTCTCTCCTGCTCTTCTGCCCGACAAAACTGTCCCGCATCTATGGAAGACACAGCGTTCAAGGTGCCATCTTGGAAGCAGATAGCCTGGGCCCCAACCTGCCGGTGCCTTCATCTTAGACTTAGTCTCCAGAACTGGAAGAAATAAATTTCTGGTTTTTTAGATTACCTAGTCTATGATATTCTGTTATAGCAGCACAAAATGAGCTAAGACACCACCCTTTCAACCACTCAAGGACATCATTCCAGCAATTTTCCAGCTCTCTTCTGCATCATCACTTTTTCTCTCTCTACTGGGTCCACAAATACGTGGTTATTTCTCCCACCTTAATAAAAACCTTCTCCTACCCCCACTTGGCCTACCAGGTGCTGCTCTAGTTCTCCGCTCTTCTTTGCTGCTACACAGTGATCGATGGCTGTCGTTTCACTCCTCCCATTCTCTAAAACTACTCCAGTCCGATGGTGCCCATCACTCAACCCAACTGATCACCAGCACTAAATCCGTGTTCCCAAATCCAGCAGTGGATTCTCAGGCTCGTCTTATTTGGCCCATGGGACTATTTGTCTTTGTCAGAGCTGATCGCTTCCTCCTCCTTTCTCTCTCTTATTTTTTAGAGACAGGGTCTTGCTCTGTCACCCAGGCTGCACTGCAGTATCATGATCATAGCTCACTGTAGTAACCTTGAACTCCTGGGCTCAAGTGACCCTCCTGCTTCAGCCTCCTGAGTAGCTGGGACTACAGACATGCAGTTTTGAATTTTTTTAGAGATGGGGTCTTGCTATGTCATCCAGGCTGGTCTCAAACTGCTGACCACCATGCCTGGCTAATTTTTTAATATATATGTGTGTGTGTATATATATATATATATATATATTTTTTTTTTGTAGAGACAAGGTCTTGCACGTGTCCTACACGAATGGGCCCCTGTGTTTGTCCCTACCACTTGCCCCTCAATCCTACTGCTCTAGCCGTCTGGACTGTTTGCTGGCCCTCAAAAGTGCTGCCATGCTCCCACCTTAAGACTTTGCACTGGCTCTTCTACCTGGAACATTCCCCAGGGTGTGCCCCTCAACCTTCTCCAAACCTTGTTTAAATACTACCTCTTCCAGAAACCCTATATGTGAAATTCTACCCTGCCTTCCTCTGACCCTCCTATCCTTACCATACTCTCCTTTTCCCCCTTAGCATGTCCTCTTCTGTGATGCCATATAATGATATATTAATACTTATCTATAATATTTATTGTCTGTCTCCCCCCCCTCAACCCCAAGTGCTACCCAAGGAGGGTGCTCAGGCACATAATAAGCACTCGATAAATATTTCTTAAATATATGAATTTCTAGGAAGAGCTGTGGCTTTGATAAGGTTATCAGAGTTTTGTGGCTCAAAACAAAAAAAAAAAAAAATAAAAGCAAAACACCAGATACTTTCAAAGAGTAAATATGTTTGGGGGGAAAAACCTCACTATTCTAGTCCTCAAAGAACCTTTCTGAGGAAGACATAGCAGCAGAACCCAATGTATATTGCCCTTGGTTTCTCCCAAGTCCCTCCCAACACATCAATTGTTCTGGTTTGCCTGACTGTGGCAGTGTTGGGGGTCCCCTCCCCTGGTCTCAGGAGACCCTGAGTGCCAGCCAGGCAGCAGTTTCTAGACCCCACGAGAGAGCTTCCTCAGCAACGGCGCAGAGAGAAGAGAGACCATGAGGTTTACTACATAAGTGGGCACTGTATGTGGAGTGTGTGCTGGGAGCAACAAGAACAGCAGGAAATACGGAACAGAAAATAACGATCTTTGAAATGACAACAAATGGGGCACATTATCTAAGCACTAACACCTAAGGAGGCGGCTGCCCAAGCTCTGGGAGACAGCTTCTCAGCAGAGAGAGGTTGATTTCTTTCCAGGTTGCCTGGTCTTCAGTCCTTGCAACTTTTCATCTTTTAGCGCCTTCAGGAATTTATCTGCAGGAGAACAAGACAAACTCAGCTGTGGTAGAAGTAAGGGCTTTTTTCTAACACTTCTAAAGCAAACTCCTGGGAAGCAATTGTGCCCCCTAGATAAGCCTAAAACCCATTTCTGATCCAAGATGGGAGGGAAAAAAAACCCTCACAGCCCAAACACATTCAGCTGGAGAACATATAGTTAGGAAATCCAGGACTTAGAAAAGCCCAGGTTTTCTAGGGATTGTTTTCTCCATGGCTACAAGAGAGGGTACATTACAGGGTGTCTGATGAATTGAGGACTATTCTCACTGCCACATGGACCTAGCATTTAGGTAATTTCATACTTCCTTTCCCTGTGTGGCAGGAGGGTCAATTCAACCTATTGTATGCAATAGTTGGGATGGTCTTTTAGAACCATCTGTCCTCCAATGGTCAAGTACAAGCCTTAGCCAGCACGGGTAATGGGAAAGACAAAGTCTGCAGGACAACCTGTGGCTACTGAATACAAGTCCTTCTGGGAGTACACTGGGATTTAACAACTTTACCCTCCAACAGGGAGGATCAGTCAGCTTGCGCACCAGAGGAATCCTGCCCACATCAGTACACCTGGTCTGCCCTGGAGCAGATTCCTATGACTTCAGACCTAAGATCAGATGGCACAGCCCAGGATCCTGGTGAGAGGGCTACCAGGGCCAGGGACACAGGGTCCCAGGAAAGCTGCCCTCCAGTATTGAGAAGTGTAGTGTCCCAAAGTCCCTCAGTGAACATCCTTGGGCCTTCTGGGTCTTGAACAATTCTCACCTCCCCTTGAAGATACCAACTGACCCTCACCTCCTCCCCCCTCCTCCCAGCAAGGGCCCCAGTTTAAGATTGAACATCAAAGCTCGAGTCTCTAGAGACAGTGCCATCCGTGGTGGGTGGAGCTCCAGAGTACAGAAGTAAGGGCATGGCTGTGCAGGAGGATAAAGTTCAGGCTGGGGGTAGTGGTAGATGGAGTTCCAGGTGTGGAGGCTCTGAGTCCAGGTTACTCAAACGGCTCAGGATGGAGGAGGATGTAGTTTGGGACTAAAGGGTTCATGAAGTTCAGATTTGTCGTGGGGAGAGGGGTTCTGGGGGATAGATTTTGGATCTGGGACTCCTGGGGGTGGAATCTCAGCCCAGGACCAAGGAGGGAGCCAGGGCAGGTTAAGGGTGGGCTTGGGTGGCCCCGGCGAGGTCACGCACAGCGCTGGGAGTCGAAGCCGTCCCCAGTGATGGTGAGCAGCTCCAGCTCCTTAATCCGGATCTCCAGCTCGCATAACTCCTCGGGGTGGGAGGCACAGGCGAGCCAGGGGGTCGTGGGGCCAGAGGCCAAGGGCGAGGCAGCCACCTCGGGCCCTGGCGGTGGCGAGTAGAAGAAGCGCAGAGGCTCGTAGGGGATGGAGGCCAGGCCGGAGGGCCAGGGCGGGGGACAGGGGCGCTCGCTTGGGGGACCCAGGCCGGGTGGCGGCGGCGGCGGGGGCGCCGGGGCCGGAGGCGCCTGGGGTAGGGGCCGGCTCCCCGCCGCCCCGCCCGCCGGGGCCCCGCCCGCCTTCAGCGGCACGAAAAGCTTCTTCCAGATGTTGAAGTCGCTGAGCGGGGAAGAGGAGATGCCGCGGTCGTAGAGGGACGGGAAATAGAGGGGCGGAGCCGGCCGCTGGCTCATCGTGGGGCTCTGGCTGCCGCGCCGCCCCTTCGGCATCGTTTGAATGGGAGGCTGCGTGGGAGGAACCCCGCGCCGGGAGACGCGCGCTCAAGCCCCGAGTCGCCGGGGTTCTGAAGTTCCACAGGCCACGCCCCGACGGAGCGCGGCCCCACCCCTCCGGCCTGGCCACGCCCCGAAAGGCGGGATTCGAAAGGCCAAGGCCACGCCCCTGCCGAGCAGCGGGGCGGGATCTCCACCGCGGCGCAGCCCTCGCTTTTCTCTCGCCCGGCGAACGCGCCAATCGCCGACGTCAGCCCCGCCCCCAGCCTGGCCCCGCCCCTCGCCCCCCCCCCGCCCCTCGTCCCACGAGCCTAGCCCCAGCGCCGCGGCGCCCTTCGCCCCAGCTGTCGCTCCCCGCATACCCGCCTCCCAAAGCGGGAGGCAGCGAGCTGGCCAGGGCTGCGAGAGAACGCTCTCTTCAGTCTTCCTCTCCTTTTGTCCGGGAGAAAGAACGCTTCCTAGGCCCTGCGCTCTTCCCCGCAGACGCCCCACGGCCTCGCCGACCCCCTCTCGACGGTCCGGCCTCCGCAGTGGGAGGCAGGCCGAGAAGGGGATTGCGCGGGAATGGCTGTTGGACACGACCCGGGTTTCTGCCAAACTTAGCAGAGTTGTGGAAGATTCCAGAAAAGGGGACCCTAGTCCGGGTTCGTAATAGACATAGAGGAGAGTGTTTTCAATGAGATACAGTTTAGTTCTCTTCCAAACACGTGCCGTGTCAGGAGCTAACCACCAAGAGGAAATCTTGCTGGACCCACCCCAGAGAGCTCACCAATTCCATATGGATGACTCGGACGTTCTGTCCAAGGGACGTGCCGGCTCCTTTATATGAGTAGCCTGTGAGTAGTAGCCATATGAGGAGAAATAAATTTCCATGCAAGCCTGAGCTTAATGATCGTTGGCGTGAATGAACAAGGGTGGGTGAGGGCCAGTCAGGGTCAGAGTCAGTACCAGCTCTGCAACTGAATGCTATATATAAATATGCATATGCGTATGTGTGCGTGCATGTGTGTGTATGTGTGCGTGCATGTGTGCGTGTGTGTGCGTGTGTGTATGTGTGCGTGTGTGCGTGTGTGTTCGTGCGTGTGTGCGTGTGTGCGTGTGTGTGTGTGTGTGTGTGTGTGTGTGTAGCAGCAAAGCAGAGGGATTCAGATATTCAAGCTGGGTAGCCTTAGGTGAGTTTCCTAACTTTTAAGTTGGTTTTCTATAAAATAGAAATAAGAGAACCAGGCTGCCTCGCAAAGTTGTTGATCTGGCATTAGACCAGTGTGTGTGAAGCCCTTGGAAACTTGGGAACTGTGTCCAAGTGCAGGGGCAGCTATCCCCATTGAGGGGCTTGTTTGAAACTGAGAAGCTTGTTCTTCCCACACTTAGTGTAGGCTCCTCCAGGGCAAGATGGCAGCCCAAGGATCCTATCATGCTGAGCATATAATAGGGATCCATAAATATCTGGGAACTTTTAAAAGTGGTATGTGTTGTGGGAACTGAAGGGGGTCAGAATTTGCTACCCCAAAATATGGCACTTTGGCCATATTTGGCCAATAAGGATTATTTTGAGCTGAAGGCAACTGGGAAACAGAAGATGGAGGAGGAACTCTCTGTCTTCCCTTTTTCTGCCTAAAACCAAAGCACAAATTTTCCTTTTTAAAGGTAACATAATTTCACTTTTGTGAAAGTATCCCTGTCCTCTCTCTCGTGCCAGGAAAAGGAGATGGCTCCTCACTAGAAACAGCACTGACTTGAGTCTACATGACAAACCTTGCTAAACAACCCTTACCTTCCATTAGTTTCCCCCATATATTTACTTTCCCACAATTTACTGCCCCTAGAAGCTGAAACCCCCTTTGTCTTGTCACTTTTCCCTAATTTATTGTTCTTTTTTTTTTTTAAAAAAAAATGATATATATAAGCTCTCAAGCCTAACCATGTCTTTGGGTTTTCACCTCTCTGTCAGGCTTCCTGTGTGTATGTGGGATAAATTTTTATCCTGTTTATCTGCTTTGTCAGTTAATTCTCAGGCCTGAGCTGTTGAACCTAAGAGGGCAGAGGTAAAGCTTTTTTTCCCACCCCTGCACAACCATAGCAGTGGTAAGAGCCAGGGTTTTGGACTCATATCTGGGACCAATCCCTGGATCCACTATATATTTGGCTGTGTGGCTGAACTTTACTGAACCTCAGTTTCCCATCTATATAATGGCACCTACTCGCTTGGATTGCAAAGACTAAATGGAACAATCTAAACCTGGCCATGGTTTGTGCTCAGCAAATGTTAGCTCTTGTTACTACATATTGAAGGCCCTTAGAAAGGAAAGAGATTTTGCATTATGTTTTTTAAGTGAAGCACTATAATCACATTTTTACTAGTATATATCTATTTAAGGTGAAAAAAATTACAGATTTTTCCCCTTAACTCCAGGATAATCTAAATGGATTTTATACTGGATGGCTTAATTATAACATAATCTGTGAAGTTATAGCCAGTGGGTTAAAAAAAGAAGTTGAGGACAAAATTGTTTCCTCTAACAACTGCACAAGAAAATTCGAGTGCTACAATAAACAAACACTGAGATAAACCCCAGTCTGGAAGTGAAGTTCATACGGAGTAATAACAAACCATGGCCATTAAGGCAAAACCCTCTGGTTGTTTCTGCAAACAACAGTCCAGGCGACTCAAGTTGGTGATGAAAAATAGAGCACACTTGAATTCAACTTAACTGGACCCCTGCCCTCCCTGGGCTCCAAGGCTCTGAGTCACCTACCTCATCACGCACATTCCCCATTCAGTACTGTCCTGTTGGAGCCTGAGGGATTTGATCCCTAACAACCATGCCCCCTGGTGTCATTTGGAACTGAGAGAGACATACTTGCTGAGAAGGTCAGTTGGAGGATGAGGCTATAGGGCTGGCAGCCAGGGGGGCTAGCTAACCCTGAACATTTGAGCTTTACTCACCCAGTTTCCAGCGTGAGGCCAGGTTAGAAAGCCACAGGCCTTGGCTACACAGAAAGGGCCCTTATTGTCACAGCAAACAGCTTGCCAAGGAGTTTGGTTCTTATTCTGAACTCACCAATCAGGGCAGTCATTGGTTGGCTCTCTGGGGAGAGGAGCCCGGAAGTGGGACTTGAGGTGGGAAGGGGGCTCCCCTCCAACACTCTGACTTAAACTCTCCATCCTAGGCTGAATCACTGCAGTTGGCATTTGTACTTTCCCATTGCCACAGCTGGGGGTGCCGTTTGCTTGGTTCCCCTGGTTACCGGACTGCTTCCTTTAGAGCGGGCAGAAAGCCTCCTCTGGCCTGCTCTGCTTGGCACCCCGCTGCCCCTCCCTCGCTTCGACTCTCCATCTAGGCACGCCGCCAGTGATCACACCTTAACCAGACGCCCAGTCTCTTTTGGGCCATGTCACAATTTGCCAGGCTTGCCTGGCTCTGGGCAGCTTTTGGGGACATGTAGTGCTTGTGGCTTGGAATACAAGAGTCATGTTTGAATCTGGGACTCCTCGTGACCATGGGAAAGTAATGTCAGCTCTCTGAACCTCAATTTTCTGATCTATGAAATGAAGACAATATCCACTTCATAGGGTTGATATATTTGATGAAAATATGTATAAGCAGTACCAAGGACACATAGTAAGTGCTCACTAAAGTGTGGTTGTACCTATTATATAGTTATTCATGGATTTCTTAATTCCCCATTAAGCCCTGGCAAATTAATGAGGAAACTGGAGCAGGGGTTCCTTCCTAAAAATCCAAATCCACTCCAGATAATTTAGCAAGCCCCATACCTGCTGAGGACATAAAGATAATAAACACATAAAGAGGCCACTGTGTCCAAGGCATTTGTCTTGACAATTCATTATAACCCCAAGCAGTAGGTGCTATTATCCCCATTTTCCAGATGAGAAAACTTGTAAGGCACGTCAGGTGAAGTAACTTGCCTGAGGTCCCGTGGAGGGTTAGCATCAGAGCTGGCATTCCAGGCGCGGCTGGCTCCAGAGGCCAGGCTCTGTTCCCACTCCTCCCCCTACCCCCAGCCTCCCAACTGTCCCCCCAGCCCTCAGGGCAGGGCCCCTTTCATGGCCACTGGTCTCCCACCCTTCTTCCTGGCAGGGAGCTTTAATTGGAAGCTGTTTGTGCCACAATTTAAGGGCCAAGCTATTCTGGGAAACCCAGAACAGCCTTTTCTTTATTATTCACCTCAATTAAGCATTGTGTTCCTCTGGACTTGGGGTCTGTGCTCATTCCCACAGCATTCACAATGCCTCTTATTTCAAGAAAGTTTCTGAAAAAATGCAGACCAGCTCTTGTTTTCCTGGGTAGATGTGGTCTTGTGCACTTGCAGAGTAAGCAATTTTTTTTTTCAAATAAATGGAAGCCTGGGAGGAAGTTTAGTGGAACAGGGAGTGCAGAGGCCTGGAAGATGAGAAAGCTGGGTTTAAGCCCCATCAACCAGCATCAACTACCTGTGCTGTCTTGGGCAAAATAAGAGTAGCTCACACAGACCACTTACTGTCACGAGTTCTCACGTTATCTTGACAGCAACACTTGCAGGGTAGGCCTGTCAGGATTTACCTACAACAGACCACCGTAGGCACCCACCTACAAGTTAAGGGACTGAGTTCATTTACCTTGTCCCAAAATAATATGAGACTATATAACCAGGAAGCTTTAGTTTAGATAAGATTATCCATTATAAAAATTTTATGTTGAATAACTTATAAGTAATTTGAAAAGGAGATCTCTGGTCAGTTTCTACTTCTGTCAAAGTCAGTGGGGTAGATGCATTGTGGCTCACTGGAGGTCTTAGACCACGGGTTCTCAAACTACGGCCCTTGAGCCACATGCAGCCTGCTGAGGACATTTATGCAGCCCGATGGGCGTTTTTGCTGCCGCTGCCTGTCCTGCTTAGCAGCCGACTCGTCCCGGGCCCACAGTTCGCACGTGTGGAATGTGCGCCGCACTCTCCAATGGGCCTCGAATGGTCTGAGGAACAGTGAACTGGCCCCCTGTTTAAAAAGTTTGAGGACCCCTGTCTTAGACTCTTGTAGACTTAACAACACTATAATCCATATAACTAGTCCACTTCCTACCTGCCTGACCTGTTACAAATGTATTAACTCAAGACTCACAATAATTCTTTGAGGTAGATGCAGAAAGCTAAAGCTCAGAAAGGTTAAAAAAAAAAAAAAAAAAAAAAACTTATCCGAGACAGACAGCCAATTAGTGAAAGAGATAGGACTTGAACCCAGATATCTAAGAACAAAATCCATGCACTTCGCAGCTGCTGTCCTGAAATGAAATATCTACGAGAAGTCATGGGCATTTAGAAACAGTGTGTGGCAAACACAGTATTTTAAAATGATCTGATAAGGCCTAAGCAGGTCCTGTTAGGCTCATACCATTGTGTAACTTTCCAGCAAAAACTAATCGCGTTTCGTTTTCTAAGAAAAGGCAGGAACTAACTTCTTCAAAGTAAAAAAGCATCAGAATCTCATTCCAGGCTTCTTGCCAAGGTGAGATTGGCATGTATGACAGACATATGTGATTAGACATAGGCTGACCTGAGGAGCTGAGTGTGAATTTTGGACTTGTCAACTTATTACTTCAGTGACCTTGAACAATTCAGCTAACTTTGCATAGTTTCCCCTTATGCAAAGTACAGATGAAAATATACGCAACACAAAGAGCTCAGAAACCTGCACCAGAAAGTTGCCCTTATCATGATGAATGTCAAGTCAGTAGTAGCTCCAGTCGGCTCTGTGCCTTCTCAGCACATCAAGAATCCTATAGAGAGAAGTATTGTTAACATTAGAGTTCAGATCTGTTTGCAAGCAACAGAAACCAATGGGAGCTAGTAGGCTTTGAACACGGATAAAGAACTTAGCAAGTGTAAGATCAAATCATATGGTCCTGCGGAAGACTCGAGTGTATAAGGCTAGTTTATTCTCTCAAGAGGCCCAAAGTCCAAAACATGTGAGTTGGGCAGGCTCTTATATTTTCAGGACATGCACTCACTGCATGATGTTAAGTCATGGGCCTGACTGGAAGGACACAAGAGGAATATACCTATACCTTGAAGCCCAGTACTTCCAAGACAAAGTTGGGCAATGGGTCAGCATCCTTCAGGACATGAGTTCCACTTACCTACCCACTGGGTATACCTTGCACCCATAGCTCATTCTCCAAAAGAATGCTGGCTGCAGCTGTCTGTTAGATCTACTAGGGAGAGATAAACTTCATCTCTAACAGGGAGAGGGGTGCAGCTGTCAGATCTACTAGGGAGAGATAAACTTTGTCTCCATCAGGGAGGGAGTGGGGAGGAATGTGGGCTGCAGTGGTCAGTTAGATCTGCAAAGTCTGGGACTCCCCAGACTCCTGCGGCTATCGTTTTACAAGCCGAAGTTTTGCATTATCCACATTCTGTCCTGTACATACTTTTCGAGTTCCCACCTGGAACAAGCCTAACATGTATTACAATCTTGGCTTTATTTGGCCAAGGAATGAGCCAAAGGAATGAGCTATGGGTCCTATCACCCACTACCCAACATTGAACATCATGACAGTTCCTGCAAAGCCACGCAAAGGGTACTGGCTCTCCACTCATCCTGCCTTTACAGTATTGCCTTTGGGTCCAGGCACGCACCGCTTAGTCTATGGCATGAGTCACAGCGAATTTTTGCAGAAAGTAACCCCAAAGCTTAAGGCCATTTATAAGAGCTTGCTGATTTTGACTGCTCAGCAGACCTTTCCCCATAAGCCCATTTAATAGCACCCAGGTTCTGCTTTAGAAAACTACCCTTTTCTCTGTGTAGTCTGGCGAAAAAGTGGGTATGTGACCCAAGACAGCAGTGAGACAGTCTCATCCTACAACCTGAATCTTGAAAGAGACTTTTGGAACTGCCTAACTCCTGTTTCTTTTTGATGTGTGGTTGCATTCCACCCCCACCCCCCAAATTTCCAAAAAATTCATTTTCTTAGAACTCATGTGAAATAAGTTGCTTTGCTAAGCTGGTGCCTGTGGGCATGGTTAGTACTTTCTCAGGCAGAAAAAGTCCTCTTGAGGAAAGAGTCACACCTAGTATGTTGTCTTGGAACAGAGAATTAAAGATGATATGAGGAAAAACACTGAGCCAACAGAGAACACACAGCACCAAGGTAACACTAGGTTTTGATGAGGGAGTCTCTATTTTTCTATGTTCAGGTCATGACATCAACAGAAGAAAACTGGCACTGCCCACAATGTCTTCTTTCAGTTGCTACCACTGAGAATACTGCATAGGCTGTTATTCTTTGTTATTGAACTACACTCATCCGTTTGATGACATTTTATTTGCAGAAAGGCACCATTCACTGCATTCAATTTGTCTAACAGCTTACATAATCGGATGGCTTTTTTCTTTTAAGTTAATCAAGAAATTCTTCCTTCTCCTGCAAAAGTGAGGCTATGGCAAAAATAAAGCCAAGATCATAATACATGTTAGGTTTGTTCCAGGTGGGAACCTGGAAAGTATGTATAGGACGGAATGTGGTTAATGCAAAACTTAGGCTTGTAAAATGATAGCCGCAGGAGTCTTGGGAGTCCCTGGACTTTGTAGATCTAACAGACCCCTCCAGCCCGCATTCCTCCCTCCTCCCTCCCTGGTAGGGGCGAAGTTTCTCTCTCCCTAGTAGATCTAACAGACAGCTGCAGCCCGCATTCCTCCCCACTCTCTCCAGTAGAGATGAAGGCTCTCTCTTCCTACCTCTCCTGATAAGGATGAGGCTAGAGCAGAAGGATGGATGTGACTGGGGCAAGGGTCCTAGAAGTTGGTTATTTGAAGAAAAATATATTACAAGCACCTGTTCTGGCCCACTTACTTACTCCCCCTGAAAAAACCCTCTATAAAACCCAAGGCTCTCCCCTTTTCTCTCGTGGACACTTTTTTGCCTCCACCCATCTGCACCCAGATGCTCACAATAAACAGTGTTTTGCCACACAGGAGGCTCCATGTGTCTCTCTCTTGGCTCCGGACCTAACAATGCAATATCATTGGGTGTATTGAATCTTGATAATTGTTCACCAGCATCCACAGGGAAAAGTAAAAACTTTGCCTTTGTGGAAGAGGTATGTCATTTTTTAGGTGTATCACTTTAGGAAACAAGTTTCCTAAAATGCTGAGCTTCAGAAAGCCTCAACATTTGTGATTGTGCTAGTAGCCCTTACAATCGTATTTTATACAATCTGTGCTGAGTTATCTGGGAGTCAATAGGCTGAATGTGGGCAGGTAAAGCACCTCCCCACAGATCTGTTGCTATTAAGGATGCCATCTGGAAGTCTCAAGTTGCAATCCCAAAGGTTGTTCACACTGCACTCACACTGTACACACACACACACACACACACACACACACACACTCTTTCTACCAGTAATATTCAAGATAAACACAATATTGCCAGTCATATGTAGATACATTTTTTAATTGTGTATGCCAGAGCCAAGATATCCCACTGATTCAACAACAAAAAAAGGCAGGGGAATAGCTTTAACATACCATTAATTTACACTATTACATTGTTTCAGTGAAAGACAACAAAGCCCATACAAAATTTAGAGACAAGAAAACTTAAATTACAGCTACTGGTACTGGTCTAATGATAGATTTTACATTTTCATGCCCTGCCATCTAGGATGTTTCCTTCCTGCCCTGCCAGACATCTTCTAGCTCTGGTCTTGTTGACCTGACAGCCCACCTCTGGAACATCTGTTGTGCTACCATAGTAACACAGAAGCCATAAAGCTTAAGAAAGGTTCCCTGTGAGAGAGAACTGTTGGAAAGAATCCCCCTGGCACCATCCCTCCCAGATGCTAACCATACTATTTAACACATCCAAGGAACCTGAGGGTCATGGAGAAGCTACGCAAGCTGTCACTGCAAAGCTGGGCCTCCAGAGAGCAGAGGAAGAAAGCAGGTAACCTAGTTCAAGTCACACCTGTTTCACTCTTAAACTTCTCCCTCAAGTGGAGCTTCCCTACAAACAGGACTGGTCTTCAAGGTCTCTGAGTCCCTCTCTCACTGACCCAAGATACTTGAGCTGTTTTATTCCTTCCCAACAGGATGGCATTGGAAAATATAAAGCCTTTGTCACGCAGCAGCAAGGAAATGGGGAAGAAGGTGGTGGTGGTGAAGGAGTAGTTTAGAATCCCTCCTGGGGTTGGTTTAGAGATAAAAGTTCCAGGCTGCTGCCAGAAACGGGGTCACCAGCAGAAAAACTGTTTTCCCTGATAAGGTGGTCCCATGGCTTTGATCTTTCTCATGGTTACACAGGTCCGACTTGCAGCAGTAGTACTGTAGATCAGTTTCCCCTAAGAGTTGTGAAATGCGGTCAAAGTTGCAATCTGCAAACTTCCAACACTGGTGATATATCCGTGGCCCTGTGGGGAGACATACACAAAGGTAAGAAGGTAACTGGGTACAGTTCTATATCTGCCTTTGAACCCTAAATTCTATGTAGAATTTACTCTATGGAAGTAGAGACATCCAGGTAAATGTTCTTCCCAGGTGGGTTGTGAAGGGAAACTATTAGTAAATGATGATATATCTCTAAATGGAACTTTTCTGTAAAACCAAGGTCTCATCAGAGCCAGGATAGTTGTGTGTGGGTTGGTGGGGAGGCAACAGGCATTTATTCTGTTAGAGGGAAATTTGGTAATATCCACCAAGATTTTAATATATCAACTGCCATGTGAGTTGTATTTAAATCATGCTGGAGCTTTGTGAAGCAAAACCTGGGCAAAACCCTGCAGTTGGTTCATGCAAATATTACTTGTTGATGTTCTTACTGTTACAATTAATATTGACAAATTAATTCTAAAAACATGGATTAAATGAATAGAAATCAATAAATTTCATTTTTCATTAAATTTTTCATGAAATTAGAAAGGATCGTTTTGTTTTCAAAGTTTTTATTCTATTTTCATAATAAAACACCATGGCCCCAAGGAAAAAAAAATTTTTTCTAGTGTAGCAATCAGTGTGTTAAACACATACCCCCTTTGGTCCAGCAATTCCACTTTTAGAGTTTAGCCTATGAAGTTACTTGTAAGAGAGATTAGGATATGCTTAAGAATGGTCACTGCAGTACTATCTGTACATCAAGTAACTGAAAAAAAAAACAGTCATTAATTAAAAGAAAAAATCCTGAAGAAATTATAGAATTCCATACAATAGATTTCCATGCAGATAGGGAATGGCACGGGGCTACAAGTGCTGACATGGAAAGAGCTTGATGTGAAGAAAAAAAAAAAAAAAAAAAAACAAAAGCAGGAAAAATGTGCAAATTAGATTTCATCAAAGTTAAAACGTTTGATCTTCAAAGAACATTATCAAAAATATAAAAAGAAAACCCCCAGAAAGGGAGAAAATGTTTGCAAATCATATGATAACAGTCCTGTATCCAGGATATATAAAGCATTCTTGCTACTCCATAATAAAAAGCCAAATAACCAAATTTAAAAATGGGCAAGGGATTTGAATAGACATTTCAACAAAGAAGGTAAACAAATGGCCAATAAGCACGTGAAAAGATGCCCAATATCATCAGTCATTAGGACAATGCAAATTAAAATCACCAGATCCCACTTCACACACACTAGAATGGCTAAGATCCAGAAATGGTAAATGGCAAGTGTTGGCAAGAAGTGGGAAAACTGGAGAGCCAAGAACAAAATTTATAATGTACAATTTCCTCATTGCCATGATCATATGCCCGTCCTGCACTTTCAAAGGTAAGTTTTCTGGCATGTAAATTATGTATCCATTAAAAACCCTAGGTGCAGAACAGTATGTAGAATGTGATCCATCTGTATAAAGAAAACATATACGCATGGGAGTACATGCATTAATTTTTCTCTGGAAGGATTCCCAAGTAATTTAACAGTGTTAACTTCATAGAGTAACATGCTTCATGTATAATATGTTTCTGGATGGATTGAGACTTGATATTTTTTTTTAAATTGTCATATGGATGACTTATTTTTAAAGTATTTGAAACTTTATTTAAAAATCATTAGATTATTTAGTAACACCGGAAGTTTCCACAAGAACGTGGCATTTTGGTCCCATTGTTGGAAAAATATCCTTGAGCGCATATGAAAATAAAGGTTAGAAGTATATATTCCAAGTGTCTTATAGTGGTTTTTTAATATTCAGAAAAAGCATGTTAAGTGAGAAAAAATGTATTAGATGAGAGTTGTTATGGTCGATTTTCCTCTCCAAAAATAACTGAGTGTCTATCAGCTAAATACTGGGAATATGCATAAGATAGAAGGAGGCATGATCCTTGCCCTGTAATCATTTTCTTATCTTCTGTGCTAGAAAGAAAAAAATATACAGATGCATACTCCCTTATTTAGGACTTGTAATTAATTAATCCAATTCCATTCATAGCTTGGAACAAAATACTTCGAAGTTTATAACTACAGGTGTAAGTGTCCCGTCTTCCTGTCAGAGGGGATTGATATCTGAATTAAAATTTAATGAAGTTTGGTTGAGTGGCAGAGGCCAGATACAGTGTTCCACAAGGGCATTACTTGCCTGAGTAGTAACTATATAAGTGGACGATTCTAATATTGTTATAATACTGAATACTGTGAGCAACTGTAACGCAAAGGAAAGTATTTGTGTGTCTAAGCATATGTAAACATAGAAAAAGTACAGTTAAAATATGGTATAAAAGATTTTTAAAAAGATACACCTGTATAGGGCACTTACCATGAATGGAGCTTGCAGAATTGAAAGTTGCTCTGGGTGAGTGAGTGAGTGAGTGAATGTGAAGGCCTAGGACATTACTGTACACTACTGTAGACCATATAAACATTGTATACTTAGACTACACTAAATTTATAAAAAATGTTTTTCTGCCTTCAATAGTAAATTAACCTCAGCTTACTATAAGTTTTTCACTTTATAAACTTCTTAATTCTTCCATAATAACACTTAGCTTAAAACATAAAGATGTTATACAGCTGTACAAAAATATTTTCTTTCTTTATATCCTTATTCTACAAGCTTTTTCTATCTTTAAAATTTTTAATTTTTTTTCACTTTTTAAACTTTTTGTTAAAAATTAAGACACAGGGCCGGGCGCGGTGGCTGACGCCTGTAATCCTAGCTCTCTGGGAGGCCGAGGCGGGCGGATCGCTCGAGGTCGGGAGTTCGAAACCAGCCTGAGCAAGAGTGAGACCCCGCCTCTACTATAAATAGAAAGAAACTAATTGGCCAACTAATATATATAGAAAAAATTAGCCGGGCATGGTGGCTCATGCCTGTAGTCCCAGCTACTTGGGAGGCTGAGGCAGCAGGATCGCTTGAGCCCAGGAGTTTGAGGTTGCTGTGAGCAAGGCTCACGCCACGGCACTCACTCTAGCCTAGGCAACAAAGCAAGACTCTGTCTCAAAAAAAAAAAAAAAAATTAAGACACAGGCCAGGCATGGTGGCCTACTCCCGTAATCCTAGCACTTTGGGGGGCCGAGGTGAAAGGACTGTTGGGGCCAGGAGTTTGAGACCAGCCTGGGCAATACAGTGAGAACTCCATCTCTACAAAAAAAATTAAAAAATTAGCTGGGTGTGGTGACACACTCCTGTAGTCCCAGCTACTCAGGAGGCTAAGGCAGGAGGCTCCCTCAAGTACAGGAGTTCAAGGCTGCAGTGAGCTATGATCATACTACTTGCACTCCAGCCTAGGTGACAGAGCAAGACCCTGTCTTCAAAAAAAAAAAACAAAAAAACTAAGACACAAACTGACTCATCATTGTAGGCCTGCACAGGGTGAGGATCATCAATATCCCTGTCTCTTCTACCTTCACATCTTGTCCCACTGAAAGGTCTTCAGGGACAATAACATGCACGGAGCTGTCATCTCCTATGATAACAGTGCCTTCTTCTGGAATACTGCCTTAGGCCATTCTACAGTTAACTTTGTTTTTAATAAGTAGAAATAGTACTCTCTAAAATAACAATTAAAAGTATAATATAGTAAATACACAAACCAGTAACACCGTCATTTATTATCAAGTATTATGTACTGTACATAATTGTGCATTATACTTTTGTATGACTGGCAGCGCAGCAGGTTTGTTGACACCAGCATCACCACGAACCTGTGAGCAATGCAGCTACAACATGACCAGGCCGTGGGAACTTTGCGGCTCAATTATAATCTTATGGGACCACCATGGTATGTCGTTGACCAGAATGTTATGTGGCACATGACGATTATCTGCATTTAAGTTTACCCCATGTCTTTTCATGGCTTGATTTCATTTTAGCACTGAATAAAATTCCATTGTCTGGATATACCATCGTTTATCCATTCACCTACTGAAAGACAGCTTGGTTGCTTCTAAGTTTTGGCAATTATTAATAAAGCTGCTATAAATATCTGTGTGCAGGTTTTTGTGTGGACGTAAGTTTTCAACTCACTTGAGTAAGTATCAAGGAAAGTGATTGCTGAATCATATGGTATGAGTATATTTAGTTTGGTAAGAGACTGCCAAATTGTCGTCCAAAGTGGCTGTACCATTTTGCATTCCCATCAGCAATGAATGAAAGTTCCTGTTGCTTCACACCCTTGCCAGCTTCTGCAGTTGTCACTGTTAGTCCAGTAAGTGTCTCAACGTTGTTTGCATTAACCATTTGTAAGCATAACGATTCAGATAAGAAACTATGGGATCTGAAGGCTGGAAAAAAGACCTCAGCTCTGGTCCACTTGCCTCTTCTCCCTACCTCTGCTATCCAACATATGCATTTCATAAATAACAAACAAAGGTGGACAGAACTGGCTGGGGGCAGGACAGAAGTCAGAGCTCCCAACCGCTGCTCTAATACTCATCCAACACATCATAATTGCCTTTAGCCTCTCATTTGGAAATTTTACTTTCTATAGTGAGGGGTCCAAGAGACACAGATGACCCAGGTAAAGAACCAGGTCTGTGCTCACATATAATTGGTGCTCACATACTGGGGGAGTGAATGACTATGTTCTCTTTGGGGCCTTACACCACTTTCTACATTAACAACGTGGTCCCCGCTGGAGGCAGAGGGACTGTCCTACAGAACCAAGGACCTTGCATGGAGGGCTTGAGATTTTAGCTGCATTCCAGGAATTGATATCAGAACTATCAGATACTCTTGTATTGTTTTTTTTTTTTTTGACAGGATGACCCTAATTTTTTTTTTGGGGGGTTTTTTTTTTTTTTTTTTTTTTTTGAGACCTCTTGCCTGGGCTACAGTGCAGTGGTGTGATCACAGCTTACTGCAACCTCAGACTCCTGGGCTCAAGCGATCCTCCTGCCTCCAACTCCCGAGTAGCTGGTAATTTGTTTTTATTTATTGAAGGATTTCTTCTCTCTGGGGAAATGAATTTTCTTTCTCTCAGATTTTTCTCCCAAGCCTTTTCTGAGTTTACCTGACATTGTTCACCATTCCTTGATGGTGACACTGGGAAGTTTGTGGTAGAGGATATAAGAGTGAAAATAACCTCGAAGAGAGCTTTTGTTTTTAACTCTTAGAAATGTAGGTGTGGGAGTTTTAGCTCGTACACCAAGCAGACTCTGAAACTCCCATCCCTCACCAGCATCACTGCACATCTGGATTCAACTGGGAACTACACCCAGCAAGACAGACGGCATGTCTTTGGTGGTTTCTTTCCTCTGTCTACCATTTCCTATATTCTATTTTAAGAGGATTTATAGAGGTGGATATTCCATTGCATAACCAATTTGGAAAACGCAGATTTGAAAGACGTGTGCATGTTCACCCTCTCCACCTCCACACTCATGAGCACCTTGCTCTGAGGCCACTGAACCTTGGTACGTGCTGTTGCCTCTCTCAGCCCTCTGACCTTCTTTCTACTTGTCCTTTGAGCTCAGCTTGCTCAGGGCTCTGCATGTCCCAGATACCCCATGGAATGAGAAAGAGGTGTAGGGAAAGCCTTTTGGGACAGCCTAATAGGCCTTTGTCAGAATTTTAACTGTATGTGTCCTTTCTTCATCTTTGCACTGCTATCCCCTAGCTCGGGCTCTGGCACACAGTAGGCGCTTGGGAGACAGCATAGTGTTGCTGTTAAAGAGCACAAGCTTTGGAATCCTATGGATTTCCATGCTTAAAGCCTGAGCTGGTTACTTGACCATAGCCTGTTGCTTAATCTGAGCCTCAATTTCCTCATCTATCAGATGGGAATAAAAGATCACCCTGAGAGGTAAGTGAGATGCATTCATTAAAAAGTGTATGGGCCTAGCATGGTGGTTCACACCTGTAATCTCAGCACTTTGGGAGGTTGAGGTGGGAGGATCATTTCCAGCCTGGGCAAGATAGCGAGACCCCCATCTCTATAAAAAATTTAAGAATCAGTGAGGCTTCCTGTAGTCCCAGTACTTGGGAGGTTGAAGCAGGAGGATGGCTTGAGCCCAGGAGTTCGAGGCTGCAGTGAGCTATAATCACACCATGGCACCCCAGCCTGGGTAACACAGTGAGACCCTATGTCTTAAGGGAAAAAAAAAGTTTATGACATGTGCTCAGTGCCCAACACACAACTGGTGCTAATCAACGGTAGCTATTACTTGTTGAATACAGGTCTAATGAGAATTAGAGTGACACGAATTTTTTCCCAGGCTCTCATCACCCCCTTACATTTAGGAGATAGGGAAGGAGGAGGCTCTTACCAGCTTTTGTACGGAGACAGGCATCAAAATTAGGTGTACAGTTGCTGATTGTAGTACATTCAGGCATTGGGTTAATACAGCTGTAGCATTTCAGGCTATAACCTGGAATCAGGAAAAAACCCGTTAGGACCTATTAAACCAGCACTGACTTGCCCCTGGTAGCCCACAGTCTCCACTGATATGGGGCAGAAGTCAGCAAGTCATGGAATGCTTCCACTCCCGCACAAATATACAGCCATTATCTCTTTCCAAGCTCAAACTATAGTTCCAGCAACATTTTTTGGACCGTGATGCAAGCATAAAAGAAATAACCACATCTGCCATCTAACTGTACAATTGAGAAGCTTCCTCCTAACCTTCTACTGGGAAGAGATTAACCTGCAACGTAATGATATGTTAAAAGGAAAATATCAAGAGAATAATAAGCTAAAAGAATTCTATAAGTGCCTTCCAAGCAGCAAATATACTCAATTAAATCACACCCTTGTGGATTGATGATCAGTATTTGGCAGTAGTTATCTCTGTGAAAAGACATTTTCAAAGATGAAATATGTAAAATATCATTACAGGTCAGTAACAGATGAACACCTGCGACTGATGAGGATGATAGAGAACACTAATTTTGAACCCCAATTGAGCAAAAGTTCTCCCCCTAAAAAGAATTCTATTCCTCTCATTAGGAGGGTATTATATATTTGCACTCAATTATTAGGTTGTGAATTTTGTCAATTTAAAATTTGTGACAATTTGTTTTCTCTCTTGTTATTTATATAATAACTTACAGAATGTCCTCGATTTTGTCTCTTGGACTGCACAGCCTGAAATATTTACAGTCTGGTCCTGTACAAAGTTGATGGCTTCTGGAACAGGGTATCATCACTGAACTGTTTCCCCGCTAAGGGACCGACCCAGTGCGAGAAGGGCACACAGTCAAGGAAAGATGACAGCTGTACACCTTATACCCATGGAGGTGGCACAGCTGGGAGCAGTAGACATACTGAGCATGAGGGTCATCTTCCATCAGAAGCAAATGGCCTCCATTTCCCTAATTGGAAAAATGACTCTCTCCCAGGCAAGTTCTCATGATTCATCTTTGCCAGCTAAACTTCAGGTTTTGCTGGATGATTTTCCCTTCTCTGTTTTTATAACAACAGTGACAAGAAAAAGATGAGTTGTAGTTAATCTGTGCGATGGGGAGAGGCTCAGGAAGCAAGAGTTGGAAGGAAATCATCCTGATTTATGTGGATATACACTTTTCTATTATCAGAGATAACCACCTTCCCATCACACAGCTTCTGCCATGGAATCAGTACTCGGTGGAATCTAACAGTGTGAAACACATTTTCCAAGATGAAACATGTAAAATTCCATAGAAGAATGTCATGTTTAAACCAAGTGTGGGTTTTTGAGCCCAAGAACTGACTTCTAGTTCTAAGGCAAAAGCCCAGATTTAGCACCAGGGAAAGAGGGGACTTGCCAGAAGTCCAGTGGAAAATGGGTCCTCACTTCCTGAGCCAGACAGGAGCCAAGCCAAGATGCTCTATAGCATCTTCAGTGGCCAAGCCTGCCTTCCTAGGTGTAAAATCCCACTCACCAGAGGACCCTTTGTTTTGTGAAGGTTCCCAGATTAATGCCTTGAATCAAAAAACCCCTCCCACCCCACTGTGTTTGCAGATGACAAGACGGATGCCTGCAGAGGTGAAGTGACTCACCCAAGGACACCCAGCTACAGAGCCCGTGAGCAGGGCTCCATGAGACCTGCTGTCTGCGTGTGTCATGCCTGTGTGAGAGGGGAGCCACGATGACATGGCACAAAGATGCAATTTTCCTATGGCCCCTTCCTGTGCCAGATGTGTGTATACATGAATGAGAAGAAAAGCATCTAAGAAGGAGGGCATTTTTCTAGCCTGGCTATGTTTCTGGGCCATTTTGTTTATTTATTTTTCTTTCTTTCTTTTTTATAGGCTGGTCAGGTGAAGCAGTGGGAGTGGAGAAGGAACAAAGGAATTTGTAACTGGTTGTGATCAATTAGTTGTAAATAGCACTGCACTCAGACCAACCTCTGGGCCATTTTAGGTAACCCATAGAAGTGAATTTCCTACTGGCTAAAGCCCATGTTTGGAACTTCTGTGGGGCAGAAATATTCACAGCCAATATGTTCATTCTGTGTTCGAATATCTGTGCACCTATGTGCTAAGCCCTTCACAGAATTGTTATAAGAGGTAGGCTCAACTCTCTTCATCCCCATTTTGCAAAAGAAAACAAGGACTAAGATATTAAGTAAATTGTCCAAAGTCGCTAAGTGACAGAGCTGAGACTCAAACCCAAGCTTGGTTTAACCAAGATTTTCTTCTAATTGACCTGAGTGGGGAAGAGAAGGAAACAGTATAGATTGTAGGTGAAACCAAGGCCAAAGACAAGCAGCAAGGCAGTGGACGACTGTTTGACATTCTATCCTAAGGGTCGGGAATCTGTGGCCTTCTAGGTCCTTAAGTGCGGCGTTTTGATTGAATCCAAATTTTACAGAACAGATCCTTTTATTAAAGGGTGCAGCAGAGAAAGATGAAGCTTTTCTTGCCACCTTTGGTTCTTTAACAAAAGAATAATCTTAAAATGAGAAGGTTGTGGGTCTAGCCACTAAGCCAGGATAAGAGAGGATTTGACCCTGGGCTCGAAGAGGTAGAATGTAAAGGACGGTTCCCATGCAGTTTCTTAGAGTCTTTGGGCAGCCACAAGGGAAGCTCTCACCTGTGTGTGTGTGTGTGTGTGTGTGTGTGTGTGTGTGAGCCTCACACCCCAATTCTGAAGAAGGGCTTAAATGTACCCCAAGACCTGCCATGGAGCAGTCAACAGCCCCAAACTCAAGCTTGTCCCATAAACTAATGCAGACTCCTGGAAGTAGGACGGGACTGGGCTATTCTAATCACAGAAGATACACCGGGTAGAACAACTCAGAAGAGAATGTAGGCTTGTGACACGGGCGATCCACATCACAACCACCCTGGCTGGAACTAGTGGAGGTGAGGAAGGAGGGAAGTCATGACGTCTGTTTTTGCTCAGAAATGGGGGGCATGTTTAAGTCCCAGAATGGGGACTGTGCTGAGACAGGCTTTAGCACAGTCCCAAGTACAAAATAAGCAGTTAAGATAAAGTAGCTGCTAATATTATAAGACATGCTTCAACAGTACAGAAATTTTTTTACTGTTCATTATATTGCCACTTCTGTTTTTGCTCCCCACCACCAGCCACAAAAAGCATCAAACCACCACAAAAAAACAGAAGTGGCCAGGTTGTTATACCAATATGACGCAGGCAGAAAAAAATGACATTTGATCCTCATGACGGAGCAAAGCAAGTAGTATGGGTGTTCCTACTGCTATAGAGATTAAGACTCAGATGCACACAACTTCCTCTAGGAGGAAGGGCGGTCCAGGAAGGGGTTGTCCAAAAAGAGGTGGTCCAGGAAGGGTTGTCCCAGGGGAAAGGGTGGCTCAGAGGGGAGGGGTGGCCTCGAACAGTGGGGAAGAACATGGACTGTGGTGCCAAAGTGTATCTGTTCACATCCTGGTGTACCACTTCTGTGTGTTATTCAACAAGTTAATTAATCTTTTGGGACCTCAATCTTATCAGGTATAAAACAGGGATATAAGTAGTACCTTTGCCATCAGGCTGGCACCAGGATTGAATAAGCAAATACATGTCAAATGCTCAGAATAGTGATTGGCGCATAAATGCTATGAGCCTTGACTGCTTCTGCTATCACTGTGCCCATGACCGCGTTGCTATAACACAAGAGAAGCCCCAGGGCAGAAGGACTAAGCTCCCTCACATGGCTCTGGGCACAGGGGACCCCAGAGGGGCTTGCACAGCACCCTAAGCACGGTATCCATGGGAGCTGCAGTAGCCTGTGGCGACAGGGATGAAACCTAAGCCACTGAGTGTTGCCCCCACACCCTGCCCAAAGCAGCCCTGTAACTCAGGATGACCTGTAACTCTGGAAGGGGCTCCACCGAGGATGAGCCCCATGGAGGAAGGAGTTGCCACACAACCCCGGAGGGCAAAAGAACCAAAGCCAGACCTGCAAGAGGAACTGGCTGGTGCTGAAACTGAAGCCGGTAATACCGGCTCAGTTATCCTGAGCCTAAGGAAAAGGAAGCCCAAGGCCAAGGCAGCCTAGATCCGTGTCCCGGGACCCTGGAGCACTTACCTGAATGGCAGAGGACAGCCAGCATGAGCAGGAGCCCGAACAGGACAAACCCTCCTTGGCTTCTCATCGTGCCTGTCCACAGAATCTGTAAGGAAGGGATAAGACAGGTTGTCACAAATAACAAAATACTGCTGGTTATCTCAGAGAACATGAGCTGGAAGGCTGAGTCGGCTGCAGGGAACGTGGGGGAGGAGCCGACTGACTGGAAGACATAGGAAACCTACCTGGCTGGGCGCCTCGGACTAGGAGTGCTCTTGGGAGGGCACACTTGATCCTCTCCTGCCCCAAGACCTCAGCTTACTGAAGGAAGGGGATGGGTCTCAGGGAAAGGGTGGCTCCGGGGGTGTCAACACACACTGGGCGGTGCCCAGCCCTAACCCACAGCAGCTGCACACACCTAACTATATTCAATCTTTATTGCTACTATGCAGTGGGTATAACACTGTCTTTCTCCCCATGAGAGGTGCTTGGTCAAACGGGATAGGAGAAAACTGACTAACACAGCAACTACAGTTCCCACTCCACCGGTACCACCTCCAGCTGCTGACTAAGCTGGAAGGCCACTTCTTCTCCAGGTCACACTGCTAAGTGAAGCAGACCAAAGGGTGACTCTGGAGGGCACAAGCCTGCATTCAGCAGCAGAACCGGGGCAAAGGTTTAGCATGCATGGAAGCTCTGGCTCCCCACGAGACAAGTACGTAAATATACTTGTACACAAGTACAAGGGGACACCTCCTTGCTCATTGGGGACATAAAGAGAGGTGTCGGGCAACTAGTCCCCAGTACATGCGTGCCTAGATGTGCAGCCATAAGCATCGGACGAAAAGGGGAGGTTGAAATGCCTCTAAACCTTTCTCCTAGTAGGGAAGCCAAGGCACAGGGAGGTTTTGAACTTGCCTAAGTGCAAAGCATCAGTCGCAGATCTAGAAGCCTCCCAACTCCACCCCTACATCCCTACACCCATCCTGAAATGAAATGGTGACAGCTCTTATAAACCAGGGTGTTTATTCTCCTGAGCCCCACAGGACTCATGCCTGGTGGACAGATGGCGCTCTTGGGGGACAAGCCACCCACCCTCCTCGGGGCTATCAGTGCAGAGTTCTCTGTCGCCACCAGTCAGGGGAAGACCGAGAAGCAGAAAAGGGCAGGGTCTGGCAGAGTCTGGCATTGTTCAAAGAAGAAAATGTTGAGTGACTTAAACCTGGGGTGGGGAAGAGGCGGCTTTCTGATACATGGGGAACCAGAAAGAAAAACAAACAAGGACTGGCCTTTCCTTACAAGTTGAGTACCTCCCACTTCCCTCTGGCCTCTTTAAAACCTACAACCGGCTACTGGACACCAGTGCCCCTGTGGGACCATCCCGGGTTACGGGGACCCGACACTGACAGCCACCTGCTTGGCTCCCCATGCTCAGGGCTTTCTGGGTAGAGAGGATGATTTACAGGCTCAAGTTAGACAGGGCTTAGGACCACGAGGGACTGTTGCAAGTGGGGAAGGAGAGGAAGGCATTGATCCGAGGTTCCCAAACAGGGATGCAGGGAGCTTCAGACACTTTCTAAAAGTACAGAATAGCTGTGGTGTCTGGTGTCAGGCATCCTCATCGCAGGAGGTGGGAGGGAACTCCTGACTCAAGTTAGGCACCAGAAAGGTGTCAGGTTGGCAGGATGTGCTAGCACCAGAACAGTCTTCCTTTCCTTGACATGACTAACAGTGTTACAACAAACAGCGTCTCTGAACTTCCCTTGGAACGGTCCTTGACATGACTAACAGCACCGCAACACACAGGGTCCCTGACACACAAGGGTTCTTTGATGAAGTGCAATAGAAAGAACCAGCCTGCTAAGAAAGCCAGAACACAATGAACTGGTTAAGGGCACAGTCGTTTGACTCTGAACAAGGCCTTGAATAGTTCTGGCTTTGCCACTTATTTGCTGTGTGGACCTCTGATCTCCACCCTTCATCTTGTAAACACGGGGACAGTCACGTGTACTGCCCAGCGCAATGCCCGGCCAAAGACAGCACTCCAGAAGAATACCCGCTGTCAGTATTACTGAGAAGTCATGAGATTACTAGGGGAAGAAATCAGGTGGGGAGGGGTGTGGGGGGGGTGAAGAGTTGGGAGGGCAGACAGAGGGCAGCACTAGGTGAGGAAGGAGAAACTCTGTATTGGATGAGTAGGGGAGATCTTGCACCCTAAACCTAAGGCGGCCCTCAGCGATCTAGGTTGGGCACAAGTGTCAAGTCTCAGCTTCAATTCTATACGACTGGCTGGTTGTCCCTGCAGCTGCTTCCATGACATGGCTGCAGAGGGGCAGAGATGGAACAGGAAGGAAGTGGCCAGCGTGCAGATGACAAGGTTGGGCTGTTCAAATAAAAATAAGACCAGGTCTTTGTTAACCACAACTGAAATATGAATTTCCAAGAGCAAAATGTTCATATGGAGTGTGTGTGGGCGTATGTGTATGTATACGGAGAGTGCGGGAGGGGGGAGGCAGAAGAAGAAATAGCTCACTGTTTTAAAGCTTTTTTAATAAATGCCTTAAAATGTGGAATGTAATTAATGTTAAGCAGGATTATTTATGACTTTTTATTTTTGTTCCCGATCCCTAACTTTTTGCCTTCTTTTCCCCAAATTCTATAATGAATCGAGTATTACTTTAAAATAAGAAGTATCAGGAAAATCCACACATTACAAATGTTCCTTTTTCAGTAGTCATATATCACCTATCTTTTGGTAAATGTATCTCAGAATTAAAAAAATAAAAAACCTGACCTCATGGTTTCAAACTCTTCCCTGGTCTCAAATACCCTCCATTTTAAGTAAAAAAAAAAAAGATATTCATAAGTGTAGATAAGATGGTAGATGAACCAAAAAGTGTCGCCATTTCACCTAAACCAAGTACTTAAACACAAGATACACTCAGAAGGCATCAACAACTCTTAACTCTTTTCTAAACATCTCAGGACTCATAACTGTGGATTTGTCCCTGTGGAATTTTTTTTTTTTTTGAGACAGAGTCTCAATCACTACTCTCTTGCCTGGGCCAGAGTGCCGTGGCGTCCCCGCTCACAGCAACCTCAAACTCCTGGCTCAAGCGATCCTCCTGCCTCAGCCTCCCAAGTAGCTGGGACTACTGGCACTCGCCACAGCGCCTGGCTAATTTTTTCTATTTTAAGTAGAAATGGGGTCTCGCTCTTGCTCAGGCTGGTCTTGGACTCCTGAGCTCAAGCAATCTTCCCAGAATAGTGCATTTATAGCCAAGACACACAGGTGGCCCCTAGAAGCTAAGAACGGTCCTCCCCTCAGTTCCCCAGTCACGAGAACTGTATTCTATCAGTAATCTGAATAAGCAAGGAAATAAATTCGTGTCTAAAGCCTCCAGAAAGAACACAGCCCTACCACCTTGACCTTAGCCTGGTGAGACCCGGGTCAGACGTCTAGCATATGGAAAGGTAAGATTAATAAATTTGTGTTGTTTGAAGTGGTTCCATTGGTGGTGGTTTGTCCAACTGCAGTATAAAACTAATTTGGCAACCTCTGAACTACAAAGCGGTGGAACAGCAGTTAAACCCGGGTTTGAGCTCAGAACCATCTTAAACTCTCTGGTGAGGAGACTTCTTGTGAATTCAGCTTCTGAAATATGTTAGTTAAGCTGACATCACTGAGGAAGAGATTTGACATGTGCAGTGTTTCCACGAGATTCACAGATGCCCATGGCAAGTGTCCTCAAAATAAAACCCAATGCCTTTATTTGATAGGAAATTAGTAGAAGCCCAGGGGAAGGAAATTACCTGTCCCAAGACAATAGGTTGGTTGCAAAGCCACACTGGATGGATGTATCTCTATTCATCAGGGACTGGTGACTCACAAGATACCTGATGTCGGCAGTGTTAGGGGCTTGGAGCTTTTGCCCTAGCTATATATGTCATCTTCAAGACATACACAGTGCCTGCTGTAGCCACTCATGCTGAGTTACCCAGGCTAGGATCAGTGACTCAGTTAAAGGACTAATTACATAAGCAGAGAGAGACAAAGAGAAAACTGCCATCATAATGGAAGAGCCCCTCCCAGCCAAGCCCCTAGTGTAAGGACAGCCTTGCTGAAATAACAGGTAAATGCCCAATCCCACAACTTCCCCAGTAACAGGTAAGAATCAATCCTATGCGTTCTCTCACTAACAGGTCCCCTGCAGGAGTTCTGTTTTGCACAACTCTTGAAGAGAGCTGAATGGACAGAAAAGAGATGTAAATCTCCCTCTTTCAAAATTGTTTCTGAGAGCCTGCTTTTACAGAGTTCCTAGGTAAAGAGCAGGGAGAACCAGCTACAGCCTCAACCATATCTCAAGGACAGAGTCACATCTGTGATAATCCCTTGTCCAAGGAAAGGCAGGAAACCAAGGATGACTTTGACATCCTTGCAGTTTTTGTTATCTCCCTGCTGCCGATTTCATCAATTGACAGCCATCACTATTTTTTTTCTTTTTGTCCCCCTTAAAATCAGTGAGCCACTAGGCCTTGCTGCTGGCACCCCCTTCTCTTTCTTTGGGATGCCACGCCATCTCTCTGTTCTCTTCCCCCCCTTTCCCTTCATTCTCTTTCTTCCTCTTTTCTCTCTCTCTCTCTCTCTCCCCTTCTCTTCCCTCTCTCTCCTCTTAGAAGGATAAAATAAACTTTTTTACTTTTATATCTTAGTTCCTGCGTGAGAAATCTCTTCTCTACCCGTGCTGTGAGCACCGACAGGCTTTCCACCCTAACACTAGTGCCAGGGGCAACCACCTTTTACTCTGTAAAGCACCCAGATCTGCAGCTTCCCCTACAAGGGCCTTCTTTGCAATGTGGTCCAGAAGCCCATATCCCTAGGTTTCCAAAGAGAGCCTCTCATCTTGGTACTCACAACCTTGCCCTTTGAGATTATACATGCACAGCCAAGTTTTATATTTTTTTAAAGACCAGGTTTCACTTTGTTGCTCAGGCTAGAAGGCTGAAGTGCAGTGGCCTGATCATAACCCCCTGTAACCTCAACGTCCTGGGTTCAAGCAATCCTCCCGCCTCAGCCTCCCAAGTAGCTAGGACTACAAGCATGTACCACCACACTAAGCTAAATTATTTTATTTTTTGTAGAGACGGGTTTATGTTGCCCAGGCCAGTCTCAAACTCCCAGCCTTAAGCAAACTTCCCACCTTAGCTTCTCAAAGTGCTAGGATTACAACCATGAGCCTTTGTGCTGGCATAGCCAAGATGGAATGAAGATATTTCACAGAGATATGGGGCATAGGTAAAAACAGCTTGTCTTTTAACAACTTCAAGCACTTGTGGTCTTGGTTGTCTGTGGCAGTTTAGCTGAAGTTCTTAAAGGGATGGCCCAGAATTTTCAATGCACTCCTTGTCAAGAGCTTATACCTGCCTCTGTCGAAGATGCATTCCATTAGAAACCTGTTAGGTTTGTTCCAGGTGGGAATCCGAAAAGTATGTACAGGACAGAATGTGGTTCATGCAAAACTTAGGTTTGTAGAAGAATAGCCGCAGGAGTCTGGGGAGTCCTGGACTTAGTAGATCTAACAGACAGCTGCAGCAGCATTCCTCCCCCCTCCCTGTTACAGATGAAGGCGCTCTCTCCTGATAAGGACAACGCCACAGCAGAAGGACGGATGTGACTGGGGCAAAGGCATCGTATGAGTTTGTTGTTTGAAGAATTTACTACAAACAGCTGTTCTGCCCACCGTTCTCTGCCATACGTGAACTGCACATAGCAGGAAGCAATTCTTCACCTGCCAGTTTGGCCCAGCAGCACAGAACTGAACAAGGCAGGTGGGAGGGGGCCGGCTACCCCTGTTTATGAAAACCCTCACTAAACCCCCTTCTGTGCTGACTCTCTTTTTGGACTCAGCTCACTTGCAGGGTGGGGGTGGGGTGGGGAATAAACCAGCCGTGTTGCTCCCACACAGCCTGTGTGTGAAATCTGTCCTTTGGGTCATTCACCCTTTCAAAACCCACTCTCCCCAGCCTAAAATTCATTTTATTTGAGTTTTATCTTCCAGGCCACTCTGCACAATGGGATGTTTTCCTTAAAGCAAGGTTTAGCAAACAGTTTCCAATTTCCACCCTGAAAACACCAAAGCCATAAGTTTTAGGAATGTCTGGCTTGTAGTGAGGCGATTCCCTCTTAGCCTCCACTTTATACATTGCCTCTCTGCACCCTAAAATTCATTTTATTTGAGTTTTATCTTCCAAGCCACTCTGCACAATGGGATGTTTTCCTTAAAGCAAGGTTTAGCAAACAGTTTCCAATTTCCACCCTGAAAACACCAAAGCCGTAAGTTTTAGGAATGTCTGGCTTGTAGTGAGGCGATTCCCTCTTAGCCTCCACTTTATACATTGCCCCACCCAGTGTAAATAGCCACAGACTCCAGAAGGATGGGGCCCAGCCAAAACATCAACATCATGTAAAAAGAAAATCAAAGCCTCATCCCACCCCACCCCCCCCCAACTCCTTAGGCAAAAGAGAAGGTAAAAGCTAAGCTTAGGCACCAGTGAAGAGCTGGCCACACAGATCACTCATTAAGGAAGTTTCCTGCTCACCTCCCACAGGCAAAGACATGCCAAGTGTACCTATGTCTAGCACCTAAAACCAGAGCCAACCCAATTCCACACTAAACATGAATTATAAGTTTATCTTACCGGTAACAGAACAGGATACAGGACAGAACCGGGCATTCTTCCACCTACCCCCGGACACGTACATAATTGATGCTTCGCTCCCCTTTCCCTTCGCACATTCCCCTTATTTTAAGTGTACATGGCTTTCCCGGGCCTCACAGAACGTAACCACTTTGCCTGTCAGCCGCTGCCCTGCCTTCCCCCTCTCTCTGCGCCTTTAAAGGCAGAAGGTTCCAACTGCTCCTTCTGCGGCTAGCGGCGCAGCTCGCGCCCGCCCTGTGGCGTTCTTCCCGGGCGCGTCCTCCACATCTTAATAAACGTCCGCTGCTGGAGGATTTCTGCCTCGGTCATTAACCCGGGTGGACAATCACGTGCTGTTCACACTGTGTTTCAGCCCTGACGTCTGCTTTCTAAAATTCCAAATGGAGAACTCTAGAGAAGAGCGGCCCGCGACCGCACGGGGACCGCGCTTTCTCTCCCTCAGAGCGCGTGGGCCGGCGCGAGGGAAACACCCCGGAGGGAGGGCCCGGAGGGCAGGGCCCGCGGAGGGGTGCGAGGGGCGAGGACCCGCCGCTCCCCGCCTCTCCTCTGCGGTAAGTAAACAAAGGGAGCCGGCGTCCCGGGCCAGGGCCTCGCGCCCGGCTCTGCCCGCGGGCTCGGGGCGCGTGGGAGGCGGGGGCGCCCCAGCCCGCACCCCGGCCGGGCGCGAGCGCGCGGGGACCCCGCCGGCCCGGCCTAGCCTTACCTGACAGCGCCCGCAGTGCTCCCAGCGTCGCACCACTCGGCCCGCGCTGGGCCCGCGGCTCCCTACAGCTGTCCGCGCCGCCCCGCCCCGCCCCGCCCCGCGTGCCGCAGCCCGCCCCGCCAAGGTCACCTGCTGACGCCGATGCCGCGGGCGGCAGACGCTGCGGGCGCACGCCTGATCCGCCACGGCTCTCCGGGTGCTTCGGGGCAAGCCGGTGGCTGATACGGGACGGGCACCTTTAAAACGCGGGGGAAATGAAAGTGTGTGGCATCATCCTCTGATGGTTATGGGAAATAAGAACAATAGCAAACTTCAAAAGACTTCACGCTTTCCTTCCATTTTTAAAAATTATATTTAAATGTTTTCCAAAACTTTTCTTGCGCTCATGCTTTGCTCGTGCCCCGAGCGCCCGCTTGGCCCGGCCGGCAGGTTATGCGGCCCTGCTGCAGCCTGAGGCTCCCCTTGCTCTCGGGCTCTGGCATCTCCTCCGCAAAGGTCCCTCAGCCGCGGCCGCATTCGCGCCTCGTGACTTGTTCGGAACCAAGACAAAACATGCCTTTAAATCGTATCCCAAGAATGGAAACAGAAGCACCGCATGTACTCACCAGCAAATTGGTATTAAGGGATCAACACTAAGTGCACATAGAGTAATAACATTCATCGGGTGTCGGGCAGGTGGGAGGGGGAGGGGGGATGGGTATATTGACACCTAATGGGTGCGGTGTGGGCCATCTGGGGGATGGACACGCTTGAAGCTCTGACTCGGGTGGGGCAAGGACAATGTACATAATCTAAACATTTGTAACCCCGTAATATGCTGAAATAAAAAAGAATAATATTCTCAAAAAACAAAATTTAAAAAAGCTTACTGGGCAATTAAACTCTTCGAGTTTCTCCATCAATTTAGGGAGAAACTGACCCCTGGACCCTCCCGTCTGGGGGCCACCAGAGGCTGGGACAGAAGAGCACCAGCGAGGGATTTACTGCGTGGGTCACTTTGCGGTGCGTAGCGATCAGGGATTGGATTGCGGGCTTGATATCACTGACAAACCCACGATGTGAACAGTTTAAGAGTTTTTAGTACTTACAGACGGTTAGGGACAGGTGTGGGCCAACAGCGCTAACCATAGGAAAAGGGGAGGGGGCGGATGTGAGCAAGCCAATGAGCATGGAGAAGCAAACCTCCGACAACAGGAACTTGAAGTTAGGGAGTTTCCCAGCCAGGAGCATGTGCAGAAACTCGAGCTCATGAACAAAAGTAATCTTTCCTCAATTAACATATATTAGCATAGTAAAAATCACACCCACCAGCGCCAGGACAGTTACAAATGTCCTGGCAACCCCTGGAAGTTACCCTGTAAGTATAACATTGGGGAGGGCCCTTAGCTCCAAGAACTCTCCACACTTTTCCCAGAAAAAATAATGAATATTCAGCCCACCATTTAGCACATTATAAGGTATAGATATAAAAGTAGAAGCGTGAACCTTAAAATCTGTACCCCCATAATATGCCGAAATAAAAAAAATTAAAAAAAATAAAAAAAAATTAAAAAAATAAGAAAATAATAAAAAAAAAAAGTAGAAGCGTGTTAAGACTTCAGGGTCTTCTTCATTCGCAGAGACAGACCCATCCCTCCTCCAGGACGCACCTTCTCTTTGTACCCTTCACTGTGCTCAGTAAAGGCTGCTTGTGTTCCTGTCTATGTTCACTTCTAGGCACTGGCCTTGCTTGCAATTCTTCCAAGCAAGGAGACAAAGAACCAGGACCACACCTCTCAAAAAGCAACCCTGACAGAGACCCTGGGAGGTATGCAGCACACACATCTGGAGGCCTCCATCCCCACATCAAGCTCAGAGAGCACATGCAGGGATTGAGACAGGAACTTGAGGACCAACGCCTTCGCCCAGGGTGTTATCCAGACAAGATTTGCTCCCGGAGATTTAATTGGTGGGTTTAAAGCAAGCAGACACTAGTTCCAGGAGGTTATGCTGTCAAGGCATGAGTTTCATTTTGGTAGTGCCCAAATCCTGGTTTCTCTCTTCTCAAATGGAAATTTCATTAATCAGGACTTGCTTTGATATTTAAAGTGAGCTGCTTAAAACAGTTAATACCATATATTTCCTATGATGGTTTACAAAGCTCTTTCACATGCACTACCTGAAAGGATGGCCTTGCTAATAAACTAACAGAAAAATAAACTAACAGGAAAAAAAAAAGGAGAAAATTCACAGCACATATTCACCCCTTTGAAGGGAAAGATCACAGCACAGTAGCCCCTTGTTTAATTAACCACCTGTGGCCTCTAAGAGTTTGGTTTCACAGCACTTGAAAAGAATTGAGCAGATAGAAGTGTGATGCTTCCCCAGTTCGAGCCAGGTCACATTCCAATGACCCTGGAAAAAACAGCTTCACAGAAAAGAGAGAAAAAAAGGAAAAACAGACATAGCTGCTTCACAGCTGTTTTTTGCTAGCAGCTGACAGCAATTAGTTTTTTTCTTTCTCTTTATCTCCATGAAAACCCCAACCCCTTATCCTTAGGATGTATGTGTTTGCAGATGAATTGCAAGTCTTGGTCTCTAACTCTGACCACTTCCTCTATCTTCATTTTCATATCCAACTGACTACTGGACATCTCCGCTTGTTTGTTCCACAGACACCTTGAACTCAATGTATACAAATCTGACCTCATCTATGAGAGAACTGGCACCTATTGCTTTGGGCATTGCTTCAGACATTGTTTTAGGCATTGCTGCAGCATTACCTAACTGAATCAAGATGAAAACAGATGGTTTTCATCAAGATGAACCTTGATGAAAACAGGATTGAGGAAGGGCAAGTTCCAACTGGTTAGAACCAAGATGGTGAAGAAATAGAGGGTATCACTCTATTCCAGGAAAACACCCCCCCTTCCATGAATATTCTCCCCTTTGTTTAACCTATAATTAATCCATTGCTTCAATAGAAGGGCAACAGGAACCAGGGGCTAGTTCTCCTCTGCAGGGAGAATTTGCTTCTGCTCTGTGGAGATTTTCTAGTTTCTGAATAAATCTTGCTTTCACTTTATACTGTCTACTTGCTCCTGAATTCTTTCTTGCATGAAGCCAAGGATCCACTTGGACCTCAAAATGCTCCCAGTAGTGGGGAGTCACTTTCCTGTGTCATAATGATCAACTGCTTTTCCTTCAATGATTTTATTTTTTTAATAAATGAAGACAGAAACCTGGGAATCAACTCTCTTTTTACTACCTCTCATCTACTCAGCAACTCCTGCCTACTTCGCCACTTATTTAGATCATCCTCTCTTCACATTGCCACTGCCCTAATTTGAGCCAATCTTGTGTCTTATTTGGACCATTACAACTCCTTCATACTAGGTCTCTATGCTGCCCCTTCCCCACTTATCCTCCACTTGACTCTAGGGACCTGGCTAGTTTCCCACTCCAGCCTCACATCTCACTTTTTACTTTCCACTTCATTTTGCTCTTTTCTCATCATCCTTTCTTGAATACAGTATGACTATGGTTGCCATCCTGCAACCATGAGAGGGCCTTTGAGAGGAAAAGTCTTGTGCTAAGGATGGCAGAACAGAAAGATGGAATGAATCTGTAACGTTTACAATATTGTCGTGTCATCATGTCAGCCCTGAACTAGTTACCTCTAACTTTTCACTAAAGAATAGCCCTAAACTATTTAAGCTACTAATGATTTCGGCATCTGTCTCATTCTACTGATACATCAAGCCTTAGACAAATGAATAAAAAATAGGTGGTGTTTTCCAGCGGCCTCAGAACCAGAAATGGTGTTTGCTCCACCAAAAGTATAGTCTGGTTTGGGCAATGTTAATGCCAACTGTCAAATTCCTGTTATGGGTGGATAAGTATTCTTGCTAATGAAATTAAACACAGAAGGTTCTCAAAAAACCCCATCTTGGTATGAACTAGGGTGCATTCAACTAATGAATGAATAAAAGAATGTGAATTTTGATGGCAGGATAAGCAAACTGCCACATTTTGAGGAGCAAGGGTTGGACAGGGTTGCAGGGGAGATTCTGGGCATCACAAGTACTCTGGAAACTGAGAGACAGGAGAGGTCATCTGGAAGAGAAAGCTACAAAGAGTGGAAAGGGATCCTGGGGCCACCTTAATTACTGCTTTATTGAGAAAGTTTAGTTTTTAACAAAATAAGTGGATTGATGCTATGGTCTGAATGTTTGTGTTCCCCCAAATTCACATATTGAAATGTAATCCCCGAAACAATAGTATTAAGAGGTGGGCATGTTAGAAGGTGATTACATAATGAGGGCTCTTAGTGCCCTTATAAAAGAGGCCTGAGGGAGCTTGTTTGCCACCCCCACCAGGTAAAGATACAGCGTGAAGGCACACAGTCTTTAAAGCAGAGAGCAAGCCTTCACCAGACGCCTAATCCTCTGGCACTTTGATCTTGGACTTCCCAGC